ACGACCGTTAAATGGAAATTATTTATTTACTTTATGCAAAATTTATGGTGATTTACGCTAGTGTGCGCAAAAGGTAGGTGTGTAAAGCAACAACCACTCATGCTGTTAATGACCTATGCACTTCAAGTCTGATGCGAAAAGACATGATCACACTGGCAAGCCTGGTGCTTTTCTACCTGGGTTTGTTTTCATGATGTCTCATTCCGTAGTTCCGAGTTTATAGTTCCTCGATTCTGGCGCACTTTCGCCGTGATTTTTTCATGCACCTGTCTCGCTTTGTGTGTGCTGCGATTTCTTGATACCACCCTCCTCTCTGCCCTCTGTAGAAAAATACTGTTTGCTACGCTGTTGTTAACTACAAATGAATTTTTGAAGTTTTTAATAGGGACAAACTTCTTTTGCACATGCATGAAAAACATACAAAAAACTTCATATAAGTTGCACAAAATTGGAGTACCACAGGAAAAGCGTTTTTTATACGCTTACATTGATATCGCTCGGCAGAGCAACAGAAGAGGAAGAAATGAGGGAAATCGTCTATGAATATTAGCAATTATCAATGATATCAAGAGCGTCAATGCGGTCAGTGTGGATATTTCACGTTAGTGTTGTTAGTGGAGTGAGATTTGAAAGCATTTTGTTTTTTGCCGACACCATGGTACTGGATTTAAATAACGTTTGCAGTGATTATCACAGGCTAATTTATTTCATCGCTTAACCGCAAAAACCACAGACCGTGCAATTGTGTGAATAGGAGCGAAAATCATCAGTACCGTCATCTATTCGCCATGTACTGAATGAGCATATAATAGAATCCACAAGACGGATTAAGATATGAATAGCGAAGAAAGGACAGGAGTCATGAAGGAGGAAGATCGGGTATTAGATTAACGAGAACTTCAAGCGAAATGCTCTAAGAAAAGTTAAATTTCTCATCTTGAAACTAAAGGTCTCAAACCTGATTACTCATGGCTACAAATATTCAGAACTCAATAAACCGCTCAAGGTTCCATATTCCTAATGGTAAATAGTAGAGCTAGAGCACTGCAAAGTGCCAATACTATAGCTACCCGTAGTTTGCTAATCCTAGGAGACCTTTTACGGGAACTACCAGAGGTCTTTGGTTTATAGGCTGGAGACAAAATTGTTGGGGCTGCTGATAAGCCGTGAAAATGAATTGATTTTAATTTCAGTGATGTCTGTAATGAATATAGGTGTTTCCAGCTAGCCTGCTGGAAAAACGCCTAAAAAATGTCACAACCCTTCACCATCTCAGTCAGCAAAAGAGACTGGTTATCACTGTCCATCATTTTGTAGTTGGGTACTGGCAGCAAATCGAAGTTAATGATCGGCGCTATCGCGCAGACATATTCGCTGCGGTTTCATGTTGTTGGACCGAAGTGATTTTGATACGCCACAGTATCCTACGCCAAAAAGCTGCCGTCGTGGTGCTTCTTTGTTGGGCTGTGGGATTAACCGTTGTCGAGAGATTGCCACCAAATGTTTTGTCTGGTGCGATACTTGCGGTGAGCCGATGAAAGCAGTGCGGTAAACTGCTCAGTACAGCTCCTTTCACATCCTCCTGCATAATGAACAGAGCCGCAAGAATTGCTAGCGGATTAAAATTGCAGCTAATTCCCGAATACAATGTCACGAAGTCGTCCACTGTTATATCAATTGTGTCACCAGTGAAAAAGCGCACACACATTGGTGTTACGTAGAAGATTAGTGTTATCACACATGAAATATTCATTGTTCTGGTAAGTTTGCGCTGACGACGTTCGAACGCATCTGCCGCTTTCGATCCCTAAAATTGATTATCCAGAAAAATCCGCCAAGAAAAGAAGGCGCGAATGTTGGCGGATCGCATAAATTAAGGTAAGTTCTAGAAAAATTTGAAAAGACAAAACGCGCCTTATCGTTCTGCTCACATTTCGCCTTATT